AAAAATCAAGTTATAAATGAAATATATTCAACATGGATATATCTTTTTAAAACGCCCAAAATAGTAATTCTTCCGTTTCTATTTAGTTGACGCGTTTGATTTAGGCACATGTATTAAGGAGAGGAGAGAGAATGAGAGAGAATGAAAAAACAAGTGGAGTAGCTTGTAAATGCAAAGTAAAAAAGTTGCTCCTAAAGGAAACATGTCAGCTAAAAAAAACTTCCTAAAAAGGAATACGTGTCAACTAAAAAGAAACAGAGGTAGTTTATGGGACTAACATTATAAAACGGAGGGAGTAGATATATTAGTGGGGTCAATTAGCCAAATTGGTATAAAAGTTAGAACCCTTGTGACATATTGGTATAAAAGTTATCGCCGGCGACATATTAGTATAAAAGTTAGCAAGTTGTGACAGATTGGTAAAAAAAAGTTAATCACCGGTGACATATTAGTGTTAAAGTTAACAAATTGCGACAAAATAGTATAAAAAGTTACAAGTTGTGACAATGTACCCTTCTTTTCTTGCCGAATGAGGTTTTTTTTTTAATTTTTTTTGTTGTTAATTCTCATTTTATGCTAAATAATTCTCTCCTCCATGCTCATTCACCTAAGATAATTGACAAATAATAAAAAAAAAAAAATTGTGAGTTAAAAAAAAATCTCAAAAAATGGATGGAAAGAGAAATTTTTATAATTTAATGTCTCAAAAGTTAAAATTGACATGTAATAAGTTGTAATATTTAAGAAGTTGTGAGCAAATAAATTTATATAAAATTGAATATTGGAAAAAAAAAGCTCAATATTGTAGGCATCATTCGAAGTGCGCCTACGTTAAGCATGTTGCGAATATGTTAGGGACAAGGAAAGTAGGGAGCCGCCAACAAGTTTTTAAGGAACTTGTAAACCGTTCACGGATAATTTAAGGCAACCACGATTAAGGGACAACGAAAGGGAACAATGATTGACCCGTGAAGGTTATACCCCATTCCTAATCCATGAGATTACTAACTTATATGGTTTGGAACCACTAAAGGAGGATCGGGGATGATGGTACGAAGTGAGTCATGGAGTCACGTTCGCCCGTATTGGCGTCTACTCGATTCTTATAATGAAAAATGATTCCTGTGATCTCAAAGCCATGCAAACAAAGTTTCATTTTGCTCCAAAATGTTATTATGCTAAATTGGTTGAATATTAATGCAACACATAATTCTAAAATATCATGATCACTTGATTAAACAACAAGATTAAAAAAGAACCCAAACCGGTCATCCAAATTATCTTATTAGGCGTGATTTTCAATTACATATTCTCTTTAAACATGCAATATGGTGATCATAAAAAATATAATAGAATAAACATTAATATTGGAACTTGGAAGCAATTTAACAATAAATTGTTAGTCAAATCAAATATAAATAAACCCAATCATGATACTAGAAACAAAAATAAAAATAAGAGTAATACTCACTTTCCGCGATTCCTTGAATTGCTACATCATGAATAAACTGTTATTAGTAACTTCAATAAAAATATAAATCAAATTGAAATTAAATTAAATTAAAGAGAGTTTATTTGGTCCAATCCCTCAGTTTATTTTACCTTTCACGCCTTGGTTTAAGGATAGAACCTCGGGTCAAGTATGGACTTCTTGGAGTGCTTAAGGGAAGCATTATAGAAGAGGAGGCTAGTGTTTAGGCTAAAAAGGGAGAAGAGAATGATTTTGTGATCAAGATTGTTGATTATTTTTTTTTAAAAAAAAGGGGTGATATGACCTCTATTTATAATTAAAAAAGAAGGGTCGAAGAATCAAGAAAAGATGAGAATTCGAATCGGAATAAAACTCTTGTGATATACATCAGTTTTTGCGGTTTTTGTTTTTATCATATCTTTTGATCCAGAAATGGAAATAAGATAAATAATATGTTGTTGGAAATATCTTGAAATATAATTTCTAACCCAATTAGAACCAGATTAAAATCGTTTTTAAAATAAAAGATATGAACGAAATAGTGAGACAGTGTCAATTTTGGATAGAGTTTGGTATTTCATTCATATTTTTTTCGTTATAACTCGGAATTAATATTATGATATATCATTGGAAATATGATTTCAAGGGTATCCAACCATATAAGGTTTGGGTAAAAACTATGAGGCACGAAAATCATATCTGACTATATTTGAACGTCTTTCAATTCGAATAGAATTAGGACTTTCAAAAAGAAAAGTTTTATTCAATTTCAAATTTTTTAATCTTATCTGTTCAAAAAGGATAATTAAGATTTTTTAGAAACTTATAGAAGCTTCTAATTAATCCGAATTATTTTAGGAATGGGATTAAATCCTTTGGACCCTCCACATGATCATTGGGTCATAGGTAAGGTGGGCATAGGTTCGGTTTTGACTCAGTTTAGTATTTTGGCCATAACTTATTCGTTATGACTCGGATTTGGGCTTATAATATATCCTTGGAAAGATATTTTCAATCACCATCCAACTATTCAATAATTGTACCTAGATTATGGACCAAAATAATCTGGTGTAAACGTTTATATAAAAAGGACACAAAATGAATCAATGATTTTAACGGACGCGAAATGAATTATTTTGTGTAGTGTATGAAATGTATTGGGATTGAATATGGATTTAAGCACTCCAAAAATTAAATTCTCAACCCGACCAAAAATAGAAGTGAAAGGTTGTCCATCATCGGGTTTGGTTATGGGGAGACATTTTTAGGTGTGTATAAATATAATCTTGAAAATATTTAATCAAAGATTTTGATCTTTTTATTTTTCTTGCTGCATAATCTAGAATATTTCTCTATATTTTCCTATTTTTCCTTTCTTTAACTTTTTTTGGGGCTTTTAATAGTGTCCAAGAAATTTGCAATAAATATTTGAAGGAAAAAAAAAGGTAATAAAAAAATAACAGATTTAAGCTACAAGAATAAGGATAATCATTTGTACAATATACGCTTATTATTCCAACAAGAAAGAGGGTTAAATGTCATCACTAATAAACTTTTATACCAATATGTCATCACATGGTAACTTTTATACCAATATGTCATAAAGGTGCTAACTTTTATACCAATTTGGCTGAAACATTTTTAGCTAGATTAAATATAATTTGCCGAAATATGACGGTTCCTGATCTTTTATGTTCTTAAGTTTTGTTTACATTTTATTTTTCTGAAAGCATAATTTTGTTTACTTTGTTAAAGCCTTGAATCAACTATTGGTTCATTTTGTAGCTCAAGTTTATGGACTCAATTAAAAAAAAAAAATATTATCTCATCAATCTCATTCATAAACATTTAGAAGTACTTCACATTTCAACAATTCACCTTAAAAAAATAATATTAAGTAAAAATAATTTCAGTTCAGTAAAATTAAGTTCAATTCAGTAAAAATAATTTCAGTTTAGCAAAATTAAGGTGAATCAAACAGGGCCTTAATCACATAAAACATGTAACGATCTAGATAACATCCGGGCCAACATCTAATTGAAGTGTGTAAGGGTCTGTTAACTTCAGCTTAATTTACCAATTGGTTGTTGGTGTAGTGGTGATTGGGACTACACTTGGTAGGGAGGGCTCGTGTTCGATCCCCCACAACAACAATCGGGAGGGGACTGGAACCTAACCACCTAGAACTGATCCCCGAATCCGGATTAGCCCAAAGGGTGAACCGGGTGGAACAAAAAAAAAAAAAAACTTCAGCTTAATTTCAATCCAGTTCAGCTCTAATCAGTTCAGTTCAGTTCATTTCAGCTTCTAATTTCCTTCCCACATAAAATATTCAGTTCAACTTAGTTCAGTTCAGTTCAGCTCAATTCAGTAAATGTGAAAAAAAACCCTTAATATCAAAGTTTCAACTTCAAATCTTAGAGAAATAAAATGAAATTAAACGGTTTTAAATATATTTGGGGGGGGGGGGACATGAGTTATAGAAGTAGTTAAACCATTTTAACCCAAGTAAGATATGTAAGCTAGCTCTTCATCATCATTATTACTACTTTATGTCATTTATGGAAATTCGAAGCCTTTTTATTGCTTTTAGATAAAATTTACTGTGTACATATCATTAGTTTCCCATTATAAATTACAGTAATTTAGAGCGTCATTGTCTGACAATGGAAACATTTTTGGCAATATTCCAAGGTTGTCAAATTGGGTAAATTAGCTATAGATTGGTTGGTTGATTATAGAATTGAACTACGACTATCATTCATACATTGTGCATTTGTCAATCATGGTCCATTTGGAGCTCCTTCATCATTGCGTACTACCCAGAGGTCTTGCGATCCTTACCTTTTGGAGCCTACTCCACTGTACATTTGACCTACAATCAGCCTAACTACAACTCTTGTAGTAAACCGACCCGATTTGAGTAAAACTCAATTCAAATTATAACTTTTATGGATACAATAATTTAGTATGATCAAAATTTGAAATAACCTCGAACTGATTGACTTTTTCAATTCGAACCAAACCTAAATATCCAATTGATACCTCTAGTAATTTTCTTTGAAATTATAATAAAGGAAATTTTGACATTTAGTACCTTTAAAAACAACACTAGACAAAAAAGTTTGGTTTTGCTATCACTTAGATCTTGTTCACTTCACCTTAAAAAAAATATTATCCAGTAAAAAGAAATGTAATACTTCCTCTGTTCTTTTTAGTTCACACCTTTCTATTTTCACATTTGCCAACACATGTTTTTAACGATTAATATCTCTAATAATCAACATTGTAAAATTATAAAAACCGGATATTAATAAAATATACATCGAGACAATTCAAACAAGATCCTACTTGACTAAGTTTTGTGGTATATATAAACCACAAAATCAAGTCAAAGTGTAATGTGTGAATAGTGTAAAAGTCAAACGGTGTCAACTAAAAAAACGGAGGAACTAGAGATCAGTAAAAATAATTTCAATTCAGTAAAAATAAGTTTCTCGGTTTCATAAAATTAATTTTTAAAAATAAATTCAGCAAAAATAATTTCAGTTCAGAAAAAATAATTTCAATTCAGCAAAAAATTAACTGAAGTTAATGAGACATAATGCATTTCATGTATGTTACTTCTTAATTAATAAAAAAAATATTATTTTAAAATTCATTGGTCCCTTGGCTGAAAAAAAAATAAAAAAAAATCATACAATTATGACCACACAACATATACTTTTAAGTACACAACTTGCTTTACCATCTTCTAGTATAATCACAACATGCATCAATTATAGTAGCAACACGGCAACACTTCAACTCCATTTATATAACTCTCTCAAAGCCTCCTCTTCTCATCATCAAAACCTCATCCATTGAAATCCCAAAACACCCCATAATAATAATTACAATGTCGTCGTCCGACCTCTCGTCGACCTCATCATCATCAGCCAACGTTTCTTCAGCATCATTACCATCATTACCAACAGATAACATTAGCTCCAAAAGCAGCAGCAGCACATGTTCTTCCAAAATTATTGATGAAGAAAACCGCCACATCCTCTCGGTATCGAAGTCGAAATCAGATAGACTCCTAGGCAAGTTCTTTGACGCCTTAGAGTTTGATTTCGACTACGATACAAGCAGCCTTTGGTCGCCTCCGATTCGTCGAAGCGTGTTCTTGACCTCTCCTGGAATTATCATTTGCTCTGATGATTATGATATGTTTGTTAAGCTTCATAACTCTCCAAAGAAGAACAAGAAAATGAAGAAGACGACTATTAATGCTCTTATATGTTGTAGAAGGTTCTTGTCATCTTGCTTCAATGTAAGACACCCTATTTGCTATTTTACATGTCAATTATTATTAAATTAAATACTTCATCATAATATAATTTAAGATAATAACTTAATTTCCTTAAAGGTTAATTTGTTAATATTTTAAGCTTTTATTTATATATTTTAAAGTTAAAATGGTTCATAAATTTTCAAATTAGTGACAAAAAGAATCATAACATATTTAACTTTGATGTTTATGATATTTATTTGATTCTTAATGTTTTATTCCCTCTAAAGTTCATTGATTCCAAAAATGATATTGTCTCAATTGACTTGGAAAAAAAATTAAAGATTGTAAATTGCTTAACAAGTTTGTCTGTAAAAATGTTTCCCTTTATAATCTTCAACTCCATATGTATACAAGTACTCAGTATAATTTTTGGTTACAAATGGCTAAGAATAAAAGTAGAATACAAGTACTTCATATATATATATATATATATATATATATATATATTGAATAAATAAATTATATTTTTACAAATGGCTAAGAATAAAAGTGATTATATAACAATTAGATAAATTAAACTGAATTTCCCTACATTATCTTAAATTACCTGCCATATAACTAACTTATTGTGTGTGTAGATATAAATATAAATAAATATAATATGCGATAAATTTTTTATTTTGTCTAGACAATACATACGGAGTAATTTCCAAGATTTAATTTGTCATTTCAATACTTTTTGCATATGGAGCATAAAATATACTCCACAAGTATAAGCAATACTAATAGTGTAGAATTTTAATGTATTCTGTTTTTTCACTTCAAGTTTACACTTTTAGTGAAGTTGGAAACAAAATCAATTTTCTAATTTAAAAATATATACATATAAGTAATGTTTAATTAAGTTCAATATCCCTTTATTTGCTGTCCAAGGAATCATTTGGTAAATACATAATATTCCCTAAATATATTCTTTACTTTTCATTATTCCTAATTTTTAAAAATTTATTTTAGCTTTGTAATAACTAATAAAAAGTGTTTTAATCTTTGTCTGTTTGGAGCAGGTCTTTTGGTGCTGTTAAGGAATATTATGGTTTGGTCCACCTCAACCTAAGAAACCAATTTCTTTGTAATCTCTCACTCTTTTATCATCTGGGGTCTAAAGTACTTGTTTTTGTAGTGTAAATTTGTTGTACTATCACTTTTGTATTTTGAATTAATTACTTTTTTTTGTTTCTTCTTTTTTGCTTTTTTTTATGGCCAATGTATACCATTTTTTTTTTATTATAATTATCTTAATTCAGAGTGAAAGTGATACCTCATATATATTGTAGCAAGTTTTTTGAGGGTGCTATCTTTATTTCGATACTTGAGCATAGAGCATTGAAATTTCATGAAAGATCGAAAACTTCTCATTTTACAAGTAACGAATACATTGTTTACAAGTATCAAATATTGACATTCTTTAGAGATTCAGTAAATCATTCATCCCCAAGGGAATGTCAACTAGTTTATTTTGTTAAATAAATTAACGGGTGATAGATTGATTAGTGCCGAAGATAAAAATACACTTTAATAATTCCAAATTAAAGGGTAATTCGGATTGATGAAAGAAAACGCATGTAAAAGTTGGGATCATTGCTGAATAATTAAAAGTTGGAATTATTTAAAGTAAATTGAGCAAAGTTGTGATTATTAAAGTGTATATTTCCTTTTCATTATTTAATTTTTAAAGGGTGGAAAACAATAATACTTCGTATTAGTTTTCCCCAATAGTGAAATCATTTTCCTTTCAAAAGAAAAAATTATCACAATTTTCTCCAACTCCTAACTTTATTCATCAAACTTTACTCTAAACCACGATATTTCTTCTACTCCTATTTTAGGATCTTTAACAAAATGGTTAATTTTACAAAAGTATTTACCAAAACGGCTAATTATAAATTTTAATTCCAAAACTAGCTAAATTTATTGACTTGGATGGAAACTATTTGTTTCTTATATTCCTTTGAATCGGTTTGGTTCACTGTATGTTTTTTTAAATATTTTGTTTTTGGTTTTATTTATTTATATTATTTTGTTTTTAGTTTTATTTATTTATTGTGAAATTTTGATGTCATAGTTAAAAAATTTCCCATTAATTTGCAAAATAACATTTAACATTATATATTTGTAACAACTCTCAATTTTTTGCAAAAAGTTACACAAAATAAAAAATTACTCAAAAAATTATTCCAACTTTTCAAATAACAATAAATTAATAAATAATACAACTCTTTTTTTCAACTCATAAAGATAGAAATATATTAAGGACTAAAGACCCAAAGTTTCTAATGCACTTACTGGGAGAAAAGGTGCATTAGAATAAGACAAAGCCTAAAATTTAGAAAGCAAATAGGAACAATAAAGTCTTGATTACTAATAACTAGAGTTATACAATTGTTGACCATATAATCATTTTATTTGCTCCAAAAACAACCAACATCAAAGCTTCTTTAAGAGATTGAAGATAAGACACCCAAATCAAGGTGCAAATACAAGCTAAGAGCGTATTAATTATTATACATATACCTCCTAAATACATAGTAATAAGCTAATAAATTTGAACAAGAATGGATTACGAGATCAAGCAGTCAAGTAGCATATTGTTCTTCGAACATATTCATTGTCCGTCGTTATATATCACATACATATATGTGTAAGTTTGATTTATTATACACATTAAACTCAAAAATATTTGTATTGTATATGAATTAAATTTTCAAACTTAAAAAAATCCTTACAAAAAACAGACAAAAAAATATCAATAAAGTGAACCTAACCGGTTCAAAGGAAATTAAGAAATAGATAATTTTCTTCTAAGTCAATAATTTAACTAGATTGGAATCTATAACAAATATTAAGGTAGCAACAGTTGGCATCATCAATCTCTCCAAACTATACACGTGTTGCTTTCTCATGAAAAAAAATTTCTCGCTAAAATACATTGATGATGTCATTTGTTTCAAAAATATTTTTTTTATTGTGATATTAAATTTAAGGGTTTTGTATTTTAATGAGAAATTTTATGGTTGGAGTGTTGAATTGAATTGTGATCTTTAAACTTGGTGATAAAATAAAGGAAAATTTGTCTAGAAGGGACTTATATGTTCACTATTTTGTGTGGAAGGACCTTATATGTTCAAAGTGGTCTAAAAGGACCTTATAAGTTTGTTTTGTTGTCTAGAGGGACCTTGACGTCACATTCCGGTGATTGACTTTTTAACTCCGGCGTTGACTAGTCACGTGACTTAAAAAATTACCATCCCTCTTATTTTTCCCCCTTTTTCCCACCATTCTTCTTTCTCTCTCTTCTTATCCCCTTAATTTCTCTCTCCTCTGATATTCTCCGAGGAATAATCAATGAAGGAGTGAAGATTAAGTCCAGAATTCATTGCTCTCATCTTCTTCTCTCTCATTCATTTTCAGTTGCGCATTTGTACTTCAATTTTTTTGGTCTCCAATGGCGAAAGGGAAAAAAGGGCAAAACGTGGCAAGGAATTTATGTTCTCTGTCTAAAAAAATCTATAAAACTAGGTAAATCAACTAAATTGAACTTAATTTTGTAAATGGCAAACGAAAAATTAGGGTTTTTGGAGTATTTTGCGATGTTGTTTTTTGTGAACAAAAATTGTTTGGTTGCATGCGTGTATGTTGAATTACTTGTTGGTAATTGGATTCATGAATTGAATATTTGTTTAATGTTGAATTTTGGGAAATTATTTGTTTAATTGGATTCATGAATTGAATTTTGCAAACAACTTAACTTAATCTTAAAAGATTGGGATTTGGGGAAAAAAAAACCGTAAGCAATGTTCTTACCTGATGCGAAAAGGAATTAATCAAAAGATTCTTGCTTGAATTTCTTCAAAAACTTAAGGAACGCAATTCATTAAATTGATGAACCCAAGTTCGTGAGGAGAGAGAAGCAATTTGGGGAAAAAATCTGGGCAAATAGGGGGAAAACATAGGAGGGAGGGTAGTTTTTAAGTCACGTGAATAGTCAATGCCGGAGTAAAAAAGTCAAATGTCGGAATCCGGCGTCAAGGTCCCTCTAGACAACAAAACAAATTTATAAGGTCCTTTTAGACCACTTTGAACATATAAGGTGCTTCCAGACAAAATAGTGAACATATAAGTCCCTTTCAGACAAATTTTCCTAAAATAAAATGTCTATTATTCCCTAAACCAACAATATATGTTTTTAACCTATGTTAGGATTGTTAATCGATTTTTGCAGGTATTTGATGAATTTGGATCTCAAATGGACAATATTTTATTTTGAAAATTTTTGGTTTTTATTATAAATAAAAAAAAAAACTTTTCAAATGTCAAAAATCGACTAATAGAGATTAAATGTTTTTTCCTAATTTGAATTAATTCCTCGTACTGACAAATTTTAATTCCTTCATCTTTGAACTTGTTGAATAAACCCTTTTTCTTTTTTGGGTTTTTTTTTTATTTTTTTTTTTAAAGATTTTCCATTTAGTACCCAGTTTTTAGTTTTACTCCACATGGTACCATTTTAATTTTGACTTATTCTTTACTATAGTATATCGTTAAATGTAACATTAGTTTGGGGCGAATGTGGTCCTTTTTAACTAAATCGACTGCAACTTTTGATCCTTTAAGGTCATAAGAACTCCCAAAAATTAAAATGAACATTTTTTTATTTGCGCGAGACAAACGGAAATTTACATATTGGGACTTATTTTTGCACATAAACTGTGACATTTTTAAGCGTTCTGTTTTTGCTAATTTTGACCTCAAACTTGAACCTTAAGGTCGCTAAAGGCTAAAACATCCTCTTAAAACTTTAACCGATCGAATTAATGACACCGAAATCGAAGAATACATAATATATTTGACGGAATGCTATAGTAGAGAATAAATTGAAAGTATAGTGGTATCATTTGGAATAAAACTAAAGATTGGGTACGAAGTGGAAAAGCCTAACTTACAATGGAACTAAATGGATTTTTTTTTTTGTAAATGCTCCTCAAATTTCAAAATTTATGGGTTAATATATTTTACCAATTGTTTGATTTATTTATTAGGTTAATTTTTAAATTACCACCAAAAAATGTAATCATTTTCGACCACTTGTTTAATTTTTTATTTTAAATTACCACCCCTTAAATTAAATAAATGCTCAAATTACCATCCATTTCAAAAATCCGGTGGATTTTCCGTCTGTAGGCCCCACCTAACACTTGTTTTGATCGTTTTGATTGATTTTTCCCCTGATTTTCTCTTTAAAAACGCTCTCTAAACTTAAATTCTCATATAAATTTATTTTGTGTATCACAATTTTTTTTGGAGCGAAGGAAGTAGTTCAAAATGTACTACATGCATTTATAATATATTCTAATCAATCTATCTATAACTATATACTAAAGATGAAACCAAAGATGACACGTGTCAACTTTTGATTAAAAATTTTCCCGCCAAAACTTTTTATTTTTATTTTTTTTGCCTTTTGGTTTTTTTGTCAAAAAATCTTCTTAGCAAAGATTTAATATACGTAATACAAAGTATAATATTTTCATTCATTTCTTACAAAAATAATACTTTTTCCTTCCAAAATAATCATTATGTTTCTTCCTTATATATTATACTCAAATCTATAACTATATACTAAAGGCAAAACCAAAGATGACACGCATCAACTTTAGGTTAAAAATTTTCTCGCCAAAACTTTTATTTTTATTAATTATTTCATTATTTGATATGTTAAGTATCTTTAATTATATGTATAATTTTGGTTTCCTATCTTTATCTAATAACTACATACTGTAACATTATGAATTTATGATGCAACTGATGTTTTAGTTTATTAAGCATACAATACAATTTTTTAATTAAAGATTAAGTTAACAAACCTGTCAGATTTAAATACACATTTATTTCTTCAGATAAAATAAAAAAATACTAAGTATGTAGGTAATTTAGAACATATTATCATAACTTTTTAAGTATTTAAAATAGGAATTATATGGGTTAAAAATTATTCTTTTATATAATATTTTTGCATCAATACATCACGGGTTTTATGTTACACCACATGCCCAAATTATTACTACGGGAAATATTTTTGTGATATTATCTATGCGGTAATATGACCTTTTTTTTAATTATATTTTCACATTTTAAAAGTGGTCAATTTTATATGGAAGAAAAAAAAAGTTGTATATATAGATATGGTAGATGGGAGGCTAGCTATCACTTTGTTGTGAATTTTAAAACACTCATAGTCAAAGGAGGATTTTTACAAAACTCATTTTGTTAATAAGCTCTTTGTACTTTGTTTGATTTTTTGTATTTTATTTTAGTAAATATTAGAAATAATAAGAAAACAAATATATTGTAGTTAAATTTTTCATGTGGTTTATAATACTTTTTGACAATTTTATTTTTGAAATTAAATACGAATTATTATGTTACAAGCACTAACGATAATTATAATTATAGTATTACACCAATAAAAGTCTGAAAATTACTGTGCATAGCACGGGAACTAACCTAGTTAAAATAATATACTTCACATTTTCACAATCTAATATAATTTTAATACTGTGTGTAATAGACCTGTCAATCGGATCGGGTCATGAGTCATTTCGAACAGGGTCATTCCAGGTCACGGGTCAAGAAATGTTCAACCTTAGCCTAAGGTTTTGGGTTTGGGTTAGCC